GCGAGGGAACTCTCTGGGGTCTCTTTTATAAGGGCACTAATACCATTCGTGAAGGCTCTACCCTCGGGACCTAATCACCTTCCAAAGGCCCCACCTCCTAACATCATCATATTGGAGGTTAGGATTTAAACTTAGGAGTTTGGGCCAGGAGCATTGGCTCACACTTGTAATCCTAGCATTTTGGGAGGCTGAGGTAGGCAGATCACTTGAGGTCAGGAGTTCAAGACCAGGCTGGCCTGCATAGCAAAACCCCGTCTCTACCAAAAATACAAAAAAAATTATCCGGGTATGGTGGCAGGTACCTGTAGTCCCAGCTACTCAGGAGGCTGAGGCAAAAGAATCACATGAACGTGGGAGGCAGAGGTTGCAGTGAGCTGAAATCGCACCACTGCACTCCAGCCTGAGTGACAGAGCGAGACTCTGTCTCCAAAAATGAAATAAAATAAAATAAACTTATGGGTTTGGGGAGGACACACATTCAGTCTACGGCAGCTGGATATGCTGAAGCACTGAGATGATCGCTCCAAAGTCTACAGGGGATGGGAGAGGGGAGGTGTGCAGATGTGTGCCCCTGTTCTTATCGCCTTGTTCCTGAAACTGCCTTAGTAAAAATTCTAATGGTGAGAAAAGAGATCTGACCTGACCCACTCCATCTTGCCTTTAACCTCCAAGGTGCTATTGTTTATCCCTGGACGTAGGCCAAACTAATTGGGAGGAACTTACTTTATAGTTTTAACTTTGTTGTTGCTTATCTTTTTTTATTTTTCTTTGAGACAGGGTCTTAGTCTATCACCTAGGCTGGAGTGCAGTGGCAGGATCACAGCTCACTGCAGCCTGGACTTTCCAAGCTCAGGTGATCCTCCCACCTCAGCCTCCCCGAATAGCTGGGACCACAGGCAGGCACCACCATGCCCGGCTAATTTTTGCATTTTTTTGTAGAGATGGGGGTCTCCCTATGTTGCCCAGGCTGGTCTCGAACTCCTGGGCCCAAGCAATCCACCTGCCTCAGCCTCCCAAAGTGCTGGGATTACAGGTGTGAGCCACCATGCCCAACTTGATTCTTTCCCTTTTTCCTCTCCAGATGTTCATCTTCTCTTATGTAAAATGTACCATTGGCAGCCAGCCTGTCCCTCTCTTTGCTTGTCCCACACCCCCCACCCCGCCTCCCGCCAAGGACTTTTATAAATGTTAAGCTTCCTGAAACGCTCTCCTGAAAAACAGCCACAGGTGTGTCTGCGGCTCCTGTTTTTCCCAGACTCTGCCTCAAGTGACTTAATAAACCTCGATAATCAAGAGACGCCTCAGTCCTTCATTTTGGTAGTCATTGTTTCTCTGAAAAATCAGATGATCAAGCACCCGAGGCTACATCCAGCACACGGCTTCGAGGGCTCCCGAGTGGAGCTGGTTGAGGGCGCAGGGGTCTCTGCCTTTCTTTCCCTGCCATCTCCATTCTGGCTTGTGAGCTCCCTACGACCTGGCTTGTGAGCTCCCGGGACTACCTACACTGGGCATCGCCCCTCTGCACTCAGCATCTGCTAATGTCGACGGTTTTTCCTCTGCCCACTTTTCTGCTGCCTCGGCCATGGGAAGTGTGACAGGGTGGGTGGGGCAGGGCAGTGGGGAGAGGAAACCTGGGATGCTTCCATCTGGCCTGTGACTTGTCTTCCTCCAAATGTCGGCCACGCAACTCTACTCACCACCTCCATGATTGGTCTCATTGTGAAAACAGTCTACATAGATGTTTTCATTTGTTTTTGTTTTTGTTTTGAGACGGAGCCTTGCGCTGTTGCCCCGGCTGCCTCAGTCTCCCGAGTAGCTCGGACTACAGGCGCCCGCCACCACATCCGGCTAAGTTTTTGTAGTTTTAGTAGAGACGGGGTTTCACTGTGTTGGCCAGGATGGTCTCGGTCTTCTGACCTCGGGATCCGCCCGCCTCAGCCTCCCAGAGTGCGGGGATTACAGGCGTGAGCCACCGCGCCTGGCCGATACTTTTATCCTTTACGCTCATTAAAGAAATGATGAGTTCGTGTCGTTTGTAGGGACATGGATGAATCTGGAAAACATCATCCTCAGCAAACTGACACAAGAACAGAAAATGAAACACCGCATATTCTCACTCATAGGTGGGTGATGAAAAATGAGAACACATGGACACAGAAAGGGGAGTACTAAACACTGGGGTCTATTGGGGGGAAAAGGGGAGGGCCAGTGGGAGGGGGAGGTGGAGAGGGATAGCCTGGGGAGAAATGCCAAATGTGGGTGAAGGGGAGAAGAAAAGCAAAGCACACTGCCATGTGTGTACCTACGCAACTGTCTTGCATGCTCTGCTCATGTACCCCAAAACCTATAATCCAATAAAAAATTAAAAAAAAAAAAAAAAAAAGAAAATTCCATTTTGCATTTCTCATTTGGCCTTTTACAATAAAATATATCCCTGAGATTGGTATATCAAAAAAAAAATAAAATAAACTTTCTCAGGTTTTTTGTTTGTTTGTTTTTTCTGATAGTCCTGATCTTCCTAAAATAAGTGGGCAGTTTGCTCCCTCATCTTCCTGACACAGTTTACATTTCAAAGCCTTCTTCTCCCTCCTGACTACAGTGAAAGATGCCCCCCAAACCACTCTCCCTAATTCGGGCCTCCCACTCCCAGCCCGGTCCTGTGGTGGTGAGCCTGGGGTTGGGATGGGGAAAGGATGAACCAACTCAATTGATTTACTTCTTTTTCTACTCGCATCTCATGGAAGAGGATGAATTGCACAAGAGGTAGAGACATGGTTAAAGAGGAGATTTGTGTTCTAGTGTGAGATTTATTAATTTGCTGTGTGACTGTGGGGAAACTACCTTTTGAGATAAAATAAGATTTGGGTTAAAAAATCTAGGAGTTTCATTTCATGTCTAAGACATTGATTATATAGTTCAGATACACAGACAATCTCCAATGCATGTGCACACGTGTGAACACACACACATAGATATTAATGATGAAATCATAATCAAGAGAGCTTCAAGTCAATTTTAAAAGTTAAAAATCTCAGGCGGGCTTGGTGGCTCATGCCTGTAATTTCAGCACTTTGGGAGGCAGTAGGATCACCTGAGATCATGAGTTCGAGACCAGCCTGGCCAACTTTGTGAAACCTCATCTCTGCTAAAAATGCAAAAATTAGCTGGGCCTGGTGATGTGTGCCTGTAATCCCAGCTACTTGGGAGGCTGAGGCAGGAGAATTACTTGAACCCAAGAGACAGAGGTAGCAGTGAGCCAAGATCGGGCCACTGCACTCCAGCCTGGGTGACAAGAGCAACACTCCATCTCAAATAAATAAATAAATCAAAATAAAATAAAAGTTAAAAATCTCAATTAACAAAGGGATCTTCAATGTTTTACTCTCTTTATGACCCTTTACACATTTTCAATCCATGCTTTTCTTTGTTCTTCTGAACAAATACTATGATTCCCTTTTTTTTCCAATGCTTATTTCATTTCTTCTTAAATGTATGTTGCTAGTTTATTTACTTGTAAATACAAGATCCTCTTTCCCCTAAAAGTCACTGAGCAACTTCTGGAAAGCTGGGCTGGGCAGTCTAAGGTACGCTCAAGTAGAAAGGTATGGGTTAAGAAGTCAGGATGGGGTCTCCTTGACCCTGGCTGGGAGCACTCTCCTCCCATCTCCCTGAAATGCAGGTCCTTTTTCTGCTTTATATGTTATATTTTGTGACAGGGTCTCATTCTGTTGCTTAGGCTGGAGTGCAGTAGCACGATCATAGCTCACTGCAACCTTGACCTCCTGGCTTCAACCTGTCCTCCTACCTCAGCCTCACGAGTAGCTGGGACTGCAGGCACCAGCGCTCACAGCTAATTTTTATATTTTTTTTGTAGAGACAGGGTTTTACCATGTTGCCCAGGCTGGTCTCAAACTCCTAGATTCAAGCCATCCATCCGCTTCAGCCTCCCATAGTGCTGGGAATACAGGCATCAGCCACCACACTTGGCTGCAATACAGTTCTTAAAAGTCTTGTTTTTATATCTGATGGGCAATTAATGTACAGAACATATAATGAACTCCTACAACTCAACAATCAAAAAACAACCTGATTTTTAAAATGGGTGAAGGACTTAAATAGACATTTCTCCAAATAAGACATACAAATGGCCAATAAGCACATGAAAAGTTGCTCAACATTGCTAATTATTAGGGAAACAGAAACCAAAACCTCAATGAGACGACACCTCTCAGCCATTAGGATGGCAACTGCCAAAAACCCAGAAAATAGCAAGTGTTGGTGAGGATGCGGAGAAATCGGAACCCTTGTGCACTGCTGGTGGGAACATAAAACGGTGCAGTCCGTGGAAAATAGGATGATGGTTCCTTAGAAAATCAAAAACAAAGGCCAGGCGCGGTGGCTCACGCCTATAATCCCAGCACTGTGGGAGGCCGAGGTGGCTAGATCACGAGGTCAAGAGATCAAGACTATCCTGGTCAACATGGTGAAACCCCATCTCTACTAAAAAAATACAAAAAAAAAAAAATTAGCTGGGCATAGTGGCGCACGCCTGTAGTCCCAGCTACTTGGGAGGCTGAGGCAGGAGAATTGCTTGAACCCAGGAGGTGGAGGCTGTGGTGAGCCAAGATCGTGCCATTGCACTCCAGCCTGGGTAATGAGCGAAACTCTATCTCAAAAAAAAAAAAAGGGAAAATTAAAAACAAAATAACCATGGGTACCAAAAAAAAGTAAGAATGAATAAGATCTAGTATTTGCTAACATAACAGGGTGACTGTAGTCAAAAGTAATGTAATTGTGCATTTAAAAATAACTAAAGGAGTATAATTGGATTGTTTGTAACACAGAGGATTAATGCTTGAGGTAATGGACACTCCATTTATAACAATCACCAATGTGATTATTACACATTGCATGCCAATATCAAAATATCTCACATAACCCATAAATACATATGACTACTATGTAGCCACAAAAATTAAAAATTAAACATAGAACAACCATCTGATCCAGCAATTTCACTTGTGAATATATACCCAAGATAACTGAAAGCAGGGACTCAGAGTTATTGGTAAGCCCAAGTCCATAGCAGCAGCCAAAAGGTAGAAGCAACGCAAGTGTCCATTGACAGCTGAATGGATACATAAAGTGAGGTAAGTATGCACAATAGAATATTATTCAGCCTTGAAAAGGAAAGAAACATGTTGACACGTTACAATATAGATGCACCTTGAAACTGTTATGCCAAGTGAAATAAGCCAGTCACAAATGAACAAACACAGTATGATCCCACTTATATGAGGTGGCCAGAGTGGTCGAATTCATAGAGACAGAAAGTAGAATAGGGGTTGCCTGTGAGGTCCAGGAGAAGGAGCAGTAATTCCTTACTGGGTGCAGCGTTTCCGTTTTGCAGGACAAAGAGTTCTGGAGTTGGATGGTCATGAAGGTCGTACAACAACATGAAGGCATTTAGTACCATTAAACTGTATGCTTAAAACCAGTGACGATGGGAAATGTTATGTGATTTTACCACAGTTCAAAAAATTTAAATGAAATTAGATATTGATTGGGCTTAACAATAAAAAATAAAGTATTGAGTAACAACCAACCCTTTTTAAAGACAGGAAGATAAATGTAAGTATTATAATTACTGGCCGGCGCGGTGGCTCACGCCTGTAATCCCAGCGCTTTGGGGGGCTGAGGCAGGTGGATCACTTGAGGTCAGGAGTTCAAGACCAGCCTGATCAACATGAAGAAACCCTATCTCTACTAAAAATACAAAACTAATAAGGCTTGGTGGGGCATGCCTGTAATCCCAGCTACTTGGGAGGCTGAGGCAGGAGAATCACTTGAACCCAGGAGGCAGAGGTTGCCGTGAGCCGAGATCATGCAGTTACACTCGGGCCTGGGCAACAAGAACAAAACTCCATCTCAAAAAAGAAAAAACAATGTATCAAATAATGCTGAGAGGTGTGAGCTACATCACAAAGACATGCACAAGAAATCAAGCATGCACTAGGTCACAAGTGTGGCAAACAGTTCACAAATGTTGCAAGGTCCAATTCCCAGAGTTCACCTCTCACGTCATGATACTGAGAAACAGCACCCACTCACATGTCATGATACTGAGAAACAGCACCCACTGGAGGTACAGCAAAACTTCTTAGTGTGGCTTGATGTTAATTACATAGCTAGGCTGTAGTATAAGTCATTCATGTCCTTGGAAGCCAAACACACAGACACGAGAAGCGTGGCCTAATACTGTAACCGTGGGTACTGCCTGATCTGGGCACTAGTGTCGTAACACATTCACTTCTCCCCTGTGCTGCATCAGAGGATACTCCGCCTCCCAATGTACAAGAAAGTCCTCTTTTTCCATCTAGCCATCAGCTTTAGTAGATGAGGGACTTGGGTAGGAAGCCTTTGCCTTCCTTTCCTTGTGGCAAGGAATGCAGAACAAATACGGTGTCTGTTACTTTCTGAACATAAAGGAAAATACATTTTAAGATTTTCCTGTGTTCCCAAGTAGTGGCTGTAGAAATAGCCCCGCAGTTCCAAACACACAGACAATTATAAATACCCAAAGAAATACTCTGTCCACCACCATGGCCACGTATTTCCAGTCATCTTCTACCTGAAATGCAAACAAAAATTAGAGCTGGTTTAAAAAACAAAACCATGAGAAACAAGCTTTGTTTCATCAATAAGCTCCTTCTTTTTCAAAGAAGATTTCTCCAGTACTTTTTTTTTTTTTTTAGATGGAGTTTCGCTGTTGTTACCCAGACTGGAGTGCAATGGTGCGATCTCGGCTCACCGCAACCTCTGCCTTCTGGGTTCAAGCAATTCTCCTGCCTCAGCCTCCCGAATAGCTGGGACTACAGGCACGCACCACCATGCCTAGCTAATTTTTGTATTTTTAGTAGAGACAGGGTTTCACCATGTTGACCAGGATGGTCTGGATCTCTTGACCTCGTGATCCACCCGCCTTGGCCTCCTAAAGTACTGGGATTACAGGCTTGAGCCACCGCGCCCAGCCTCCAGTACTTTTTAAAGCAAATATTGGCAAGGCAGGCGGATCACCTGAGGTCAGGAGTTTGAGACCAGACTGGCCAACATGGTGAAGCCCCATCTCTACTGAAAATACAAAAATGAGCCGGGCATAGTGGCGGGCATCTGTAATCCCAGCTACCCAGGTGGCTGAGGCAGGAGAATCACTTGAACATGGGAGGCAGAGGTTGCAGTGAGCCAAGATCTCACCACTGCACTCCATCCTGGGTGGCAGAGTGAGATATTTCATTTCAAAAAATAAATAAATAAGAATTTTTTTTCTTTTTTTCTTTTACCTTCAAAGCTACCGCAAATCAACACAAGAAATTTTGTTTTGTCTGAAGAGGGTGGATGCAGAGCCTCCATGAGTGCCTCAGACAGCAGACTCTCCAGTAAAGCCCTGACTCCGTGGGTCACCAGGGACCTTTCCTAATTGCAAGAGACACTCCTGAGAAGCAGCTACTCAGAGAGCTAGACTCATGCTTTGCAACACTAGGTAGTCTGGCTTTCTGGTAAGTCTGGGGAATGAGTTTGAGGCGGCGGGCGGTGCTGCTGGGGATGGCGGATGTGGAGTATGATTGAGGACCCCTTTATCAGGAAAAGGCAGTCCTCCAGCCCTCAAAGGGATGCTGGCTGTGGAGAGCTAGTTGTGTTTCTCGAAGTTCCTGACCCTCCAGCCTTCCGCCACTGTCTCCACAGTTGTGTCTTGAGAGCCCTAACTGGTAGTGATTAAGTCAACAGCAGCTGTCTCTTAGATTAAAAAAAAATTTTTTTAGGAACAGGATTTTGCTGTGTTTCCCAGACTAGAGTGCAGTGGTGTGACTGTGGCTCACTGGAACCTGGAACTCCTAGGCTTAAGCAATCCTCCAGCCTTAGCTTCCCAAGTAGCTGGGACAACAGGTTTGGCACAGTAAAAAAAAAAAAAAATTTTTTTAAACAAAAGAAAAAAATTGTTTTTTAGAAACAGGGTTTCAATATGTTGCTCAGGCTGGTCTCCAACTTCTGGCCTTAAACAATCCTCCAGCCTTGGTCTCTGAAAGTGCTGGGATTACAGGCATCCACCACCATGCCCCGCTAATTTTTGTATTTATCATAGAGATAAAAATTTTAAATTGTATGAAGATGTCACCATGAAGGTGAATCTTTCTGGGCTCTTGTCCCATAACACACCTGCATGACAGCCATTCAGAGCATCTGCCCTCTGCACCAATAGGGCAGGGCGGACTTTCCATCTCACAGTCTCCTTTCACCAGGAGTGATGGCTGCCGGCAGCTGCAGTCCGAGGTCAAACCCAGACACCTGGCCTAAGTTTCAGATGACCTCAGCTAGTCACCCACATGGTGTGGGAAATTGGCATGATTCTCTTGAGCTCTGTCTTTGGAGGCTGAGGGAGGTGCATGCTGCTATAGTTAGACTCTGGGCAGCAGGAGCAGAGTACGTGAATGCTAAAAATATCCCTGGGGCTCATTTCACCAGCACCTAAATCCCTCTCGAGTAGAAGTGGGAACGGAGCTGCCTGAATGAATGCATTCCCGCCTCTCCCACTTCTCCCAGCACCCCCAGGCTGCACCCTGCTCCGAGCTCATTTCTCCTTCCCTCTGGGGCAGCTTTTCTCTATCTTTTTATTTGCTGCTGTTTCTTGTTCAGGGTTGTTTTTGTGTGTGTGTGTGTGAGACAGGGTCCTGCTCTGTCTTCTGTCTACCAGGTTGCAGCCTCGAACTGCTGGGCTTAAGCAATCCTCCCACCTCAGCCTCTAAAATGGCTGGGACTATAGGTGCACACCTTGGTGCTAATTTGTTTGTTGGTAGGATAGGGCCTCGCTATGTTGCCCAGGCTGGAGCTCTTGGTTTCATTAACTGAGGTTGCCCTGAATGTTTATTTATTTATTTTTATTTTTGAGATGGAGTCTTGCTCTGTTGCTCAGGCTGGAGTGCAGGAGCACAATCTCAGCTCACTGCCACCTCCGCCTCCTGGATTCAAGCGATTCTCCTGCCTCAGCCTCCCAAGTACCTAGGATTACAGGCCTATGCCACCACACCTGGCTGGTTTTTGTATTTTTAGTAGAGATGGGGTTTCCCCATGTTGGCCATGCTGGTCTCAAACTCCTGACCTCAGGTGATCTGCGCACCTCGGCCAAGTGCTCAGATTACAGGTGCGAGCCACCGCGCCTGGCCCTGAATGTGTATTTTAAGCAAATTTTGCTTGAGTTCACATTTCTGGAGGTGGAGATTTGCTCTGGGGCTGTTGGCACCTGACCCCACTCCACTGGCAGGTCTGACCTTGTCAGTCCACCCATAACCATATAATAACACAGCCAGATCTCAGCAAGGCTGCCTGACCCTCTCAGGAACAAAACTCACACTAAAGGTCTGACTGTGTCTCCAGAGTGCCCGAAGCCATGTGGAGGGGCTGCACATTTACCTCCTTGGTTGCATTGTGGCTCTTCATGTTTTCTGCTATGAAATGAACACTGTTAATCACATCTTCAACTTCAGGTGAGTGCTCTGAATTTTCCGCCATCCACTGTAACGGCTGATGACTTAATCTTCTCTTGCTGGTGGCAAGCTCATTTGATTTGTGACAATGGAAGCATTCTTTAAGATGTCTGGGTTCCCCACGGCTCGCAAACTTGCCCTTGGTGGGCCTCCTGGCAAGGTCTCTAGGCACTGCATCAGAGCCTGTGCCCCTTGTCTTGTCCAGAGGCCACCTCATCAGCAGGACCTGGGGCAGCAGCTGCAGGAAAACTGTCTTCACCCACCTGGGCATGGCGTGCGTCGTCGGGGTGCGGTAGTGTATGTTCAACACAAACACAGTCACCACGATGGACAGTGTGACAAAGATCATGGTGAACAGCAGGTACTCACCCACCAGTGGGACCACCAGAGAGGTGGATGGGATGGTTTCTGTGATGACCAGCAAAAACACAGTCAGAGAAAGCAGGACTGAAATACAAAGCGTCACTTTTTCACCACAGTCCGAAGGAAGGTAAAAGACCAACACAGTTAGAAATGAAATAAAGAGACAGGGGATGATCAGATTAATCGTGTAAAACATCGGCAATCTTCTAATGTAGAAAGAATAGGTTATATCTGTGTATATTTCCTCACAACAGTTGTATTTTATGTCATGTTTGTAGCCAGAGGCATCAATAATTTCCCATTCACTGTTTTCCCAAAAATCATTCATATCCACTTTTGATCCAATGATTAGAAGATCAATTTCAGCTTTGTCATACGTCCAGGAACCAAATTTTAGTGAACAGTTTTGATGATCAAAAGGGAAAAAGGTGATATCCATAGGACAGGAACTCTTAAAAATAGCTGGTGGAGTCCAGGTTATCGTGCCATTGTATTTAAGAAGAGCTTTTGTCTTGCCTTCAACTTGGAAGTCACCAACAGCACTGCAAAGTAAGTCAGACACCATTAGTAACACTCCCTTTGCTATGGGCCAGAATACACCAACAGCAGCTTTGGAAAGAGACTACAGTGGATAGAGACCCATACTTATTATAGAGAACAATGTCTGGCTTCCAAATCTTATCCGCAGGCACACGAAGAGTCTCAATGCCGTCGTATTCCGTTGGATCCCAGCGCAATTTATAATCATTCCAGATCTAAGATAAATAGAAATCGACTTTTAAAATTTCTTAAAAACTTTCTTGTCAGGCCCATTGGCTCACACCTGTAATCCCAGCACTTTGGGAGGCCGAGGTGGGCAGATCACTTGCGGTCAGGAGTTCGAGACCAGCCTGATCAACATAGTGAAACCCCATCTCTACTGAAAATACAAAAACTAGCCAGCAGTGGTGACACATGCCTGAAATATCGGTTACTTGGGAGATTGAGGCAGGAGTATCCTTGAACCTGGGGGGTGGAGTTTGCAGTGAGCTGAGATTTCATTACTGTATTCAGCCTGGTTGACAGTGAGACTCTGTCTGGAAAAAAAAATTCGTTTATTAATAACTTTCTTTCAATGATAATTTTATGATGGTTCAACAGCTGTTTTTGAAAAAGAAAAATACGCTGGTCATGGTAGCTCGTGCCTGTAATCCTAGCACTTTGGGAGGCCAAGGCAGGAGGATCACGAGGTCAGGAGATTGAGGCCAGCCTGGCTAAGGTGAAACCCCGTCTCAATTAAAAATACGAAAAATTAGCCGGGTGTGGTGGCACTCACCTGTAGTCTCAGCAACTCAGAAGACTGAGGCAGGAGAATCACTTGAACCCAGGAGGTGGAGGTTGCAGTGAGCCGAGATTGTGCCACTGCACTACAGCCTGGATGACAGAGTAAGACTCCATCAAAAAAAAGGAAAAAAATACATTCTTCTTTTTTTTTTTTCTTTTGTATTTTTAGTAGAGAGGGGTTTCACCATGTTGGCCAGGATGGTCTCGATCTCTTGACCTTGTGATCTGCCTGCCTCGGCCTCCCATAGTGCTGGGATTATAGGCGTGAGCCACTGAGCCTGGCCAAAAATACATTCTTATTTGAAGAATGTATTGGTTTCTATCAAAATCTGGACAATTATATCCATGGGGAAAAGGGGGCTAAATAGCTGAGCTGATTTGGGCAAATATTTCATTAGATGATTATCTATTGATTGTTAGTTGCTCATCAAAGTTTTTGGCTCAACTTCCATATTCCATGAGCCATACTCACACATTTCTAATACCAAAAAGCTCAAGGGTATGATGGTAAGTTTTGTCTTGTTTTTTAACAAAATCTTTATAAAAGATTAAGACTTCCTTTTTTTAATTTTCAAGACAGAGTTGTGCTCTGTCACCCAGGCTAGAGTGCAGTGGCGTAATCTCGGGTCACTGCAACCTCCGCCTTCCAGGTTCAAGAGATTCTCTGGCCTCAGCCTCCTGAGTAGCTGGGATTATGGCATCCACCACCACACCTGGCTAATTGTGTATTTTTACTGGAGACAGGGCTTCACCATATTGCCCAGGCTGGTCTTGAACTCCTGACCTCAGATGATCCACCTGCCTCAGCCTCTCAAAGTGCTGGGATTACAGGTGTAAGCCACTGCACCGGGCCAAGACTTTCTTAAGGAAGAAAGGGTATAACTGATAACACCAGCTGCTGGGAATCTCACATACATCTTCCAGTGCTTAGCCACCGACTTCTCCAAGCCTGGTCAAGCAGGGATCAAAGAGCAGGCAAGCCTCAGACCCTGGAGCTCAAGTTACAGATAAAAATGGGAGATCTGAGAGCAGCAACCAGGAAGAATGGAAGTCTCTATGTCAGAGGGACCTCTGTCACTAGGTGTCTGCACCTGTGAAGTGTGCATCAAGTCAGCTATTACCAGAGCTGAACTTTAGGCTTTGGAGATGACCTAATGGATAATATTTTATGTTCTATAACCAGTTGGAGATGGAGCGAGGTAGTGTTTATGGGGGTTTTTTCTTCCTGCAAGGCAGTGCTGAAGGAAGTGCTATGGGTTTTATCCATTGGACATCATTAAGCTGACACACGACATAGGCACATACATGACGCAGCCACAAATTGGTTTCCATGATCTGGTTTACTTCATCCTGGGAAGAAGAAATAATATGTTTAGCCTCAAATGTGCTTGCCATAGAGGTCTTAGAGCAGAAATGACAACTAAAAAGAACCAAATCTTACTTATTCACGCCAATGGAAGAAGACTGAAAGGCAATGCCTGAAAAGCATCCAGCATGCAACCAGAAGTGCAGCATTTCCACATCTCCCCAGCCCTTTAAACATGGCTCTAAACTCTTTCAGAGATGATTTAAGTCTCACCTTTTCTGTGAAGCGCTTCTGATCTCTGCAGCCTATAAAGGTTTCTAGTTCCGTGAAAGGAAGGAAGGAAAAGAAGAGCAGACAGCAGGAAGGAGGGAGGGAGATGCTGCAGACCTTGGTGGGGGATTCCAACCAGGCTTAGTGTTTTTGCCGGTTCCCTAAATTCCTCCCATTCTCATGCCTCAGGGCTCTCCAGGCTCTGAGTCCTGAAAGCCTGCCACAGGAACCTACCTTAAAATATCAGCCTCTGCAGGGCGCAGTAGCTCACGCCTGTAATCCCAGCACTTTGGGAAGCCAAGGTGGGTGAATCACCTGAGGTCAGGAGTTCAAGACCAGCCTGGCCAACATGGTGAAATCCTTCTTTACTAAAAATACAAAAAAATAGGGGGCTGGGTGCAGTGGCTCACACCTGTAATCCCAGCACTTTGGGAGGCCGAGGCAGGTGGATCACCAGGTCAAGAGATCGACACCATCCTGGCCAACATGGTGAAATTCTGGCTCTACTAAAAAAATACAAAAATTAGCTGGGAGTTGTGGCTTATGCCTGTAGTCCCAGTTACTTGGGAGGCTGCAGCAGGAGAATCACTTGAACTCTGGAGGCAGAGGTTGTAGTGAGCTAAGATTGCACCACTGCACTCCAGCCTGGCAACAGAGCAAGACTCCATCTCAACAACAACAATAAAAATTAGCTGGGTGTGGTGGTGGGTGCCTGTAATTCCAGCTACTCAGGAGGCTGAGGCAGGAGAATCGCTTGAACGCTAGGCAGAGGTTGCAGTGAGCCAAGATCGCGCCATCGCACTCCAACCTGGGCCACAGAGCGAGACTCTGTCTCAAATTAAAAAAAAATATGTCAGCCTTGGCCACCATGGAGTTTCCTGCTGGCAGCTGCTACTCACCCACTACCACTACCCCTACCCAAGTTACCATTTCAATCATTCACTACACAAATACATATTTAGTAACCACTATGTGCTCTATAAATATTAGAATGTCCTGCCTTCATGTGTCTTAGCTGTCAGATGGGAGACATAAAATTACTAATAGATCTATACTATAACACAAGATAGTGATAAGGCGTATAAAGACAAATAAAGATGGATGGAACGGTCCATGTGTGGACACACACACTCATGCACACACACTCATGCACACTCACACTCATGCACACATGTACAATCACATACACAAGCTCACACTCATTCACACACCCATACACACGTGTGCACACTCATGCACAACCACACACATGCATACACACTCATGCACACACTATGCACATACATCTCATGAATCATCACACATCCATGCGCACACACAGTCACCCACTCACGTGCACACTCATGCACACACACTCATCCACATATGCAGTCACACACAATCATGCAAACACGAATGCGCACTCACACACACATACATACATTCGTGCATACTGTCACACTCATGCACACTCATGCACATAGTCTGACACCCACATCTATTCTCGACAGGTTGGGCAAAGAAGGCTTCTCTGAGGAGGTAATGTTTAAGCAGATAAGTAAATGACCAGAAGAGGGTCAGGGCTGTGTGGAGAAAGAGCATTCCAGGTGACATCCCAAATGTAATGAGTTCCTAAGCTACCACCTCTCAGTGGGAGAACTACCAAAGACACAGCTGGCACCTTGAGCAGCCTTGCGGGCGGCAGCCTGGGGGCTGTGGGTATTTCCCCAGTGTCCAGCAGTAGAGTCTCAAGTCTTCCTCAGCCAACCTTGCCTCCCAAGACACTCAGGCACCCTCCAGAGTAAATGAGCTCTGTGATGGTGGCCGAGGGAGCCGTGGCCAGGCTCAGACACCAGGTTGCCCTGGGCCATGTGGCTGCCCTGCTGTCTGTTCTCCCCTGCTCCATACCCCCTGCTGCCCCTCCTGGAAAACTCTAAACAGTAACCCTGCCAGGCTTCCTCTTTCAAATGGGCCCGTGATAAGACAGGCCTGTGACAAGGCAGGTTAAGCCCCAAGAATGGGCCTGTGACAAGACAGGGTAAGCCCCAGGGTTTGAAAGGTCAGCAAAGGAATTACAATATGGGTTCCTGTGAATCCCGGGAAGCAAAGAAATGAGCTGTACTTATCCACTGGTTCACCAATTCATGGCTTTACAATTACACAAGCCTGCAGTCAGTACCTTCCGGTGATGAAAGTCCCCTTGCAATCTGCAGAGTCCAGCAGGGGCCGTGTCCATAAATCCACTCATGTTGGTCAGGAATGGACTAGCCCTGCAGTCTCAGTTCCAGCAAGCCCTCCAAGGTGACTGGCATGAGCCCCAACTGCCTCCAAAGCCTACTTTCTCTCTGAATGAACACACTGTGTCCAGAGGGCTGAGATCAGTTAGCAAGAGCCAACTCCACAGCCTCACCTCCACAAGCTGGGAGAAGCTCCAGGTGGTATGGACATGGCCCATGGGGGTATGGACACCTTCAGAGATGTCAGCTGACCCTATGGAGCAGGACCTGTCTGGCAAGTCGTACTCTCTCTCCATCCAATTCCAGCTCCCACCAATGGGCACGGCACTGCTATCAGACGTCCCTACTGGAGGAGTCCAAAGACCCACAGCATCAACCCCGTTCCTGGCGACATCACCCTGTACCTCCTTCTTGGGAAAATCAATTAATTGACACAGCAGTGCATCAAAGGCTTTGACTTATGATTTCAAATGGACTCATTGCTGGAGCAGCAGCAGACTCAGAGACCTGAATCAGAAAGGCCAAGTGGGCTGCACTGCACCAAGGCTTTATCTTTGTCATTTTGGATACGCCAGGCCAGCACAAACACCGGGCAGGGGCTGTCCTGGATCTCCCCAAGGAGCACTTGACCTTGCTCCTGCAGTGAAAAGAAACAGAAAACTTTCTGGCCAAGGTCATTTTGCATGGCATAAACACACTTCCAGGTAAAGCCTTGGTGCTCCAGGGCTAAGCTGGGGATCAGACAGAGGACCCCAAGGCCTTACAGAAGGGAGGGGGCGACAGAGCCTCCTGGCTGTGCCACTTCTCTCGGCCACCCCAAGTTCACCTGACAACACACAGCTGGGCATTTATCCCAGAGACATGGAGGTTTATATTTACACTAAAACCTGTACACAGATGTTCACAGCAGCTTTATTTGTAACCAACCAAAAACTAGAATCAGCTCAAATGTCCTTCAACGAGTTAATAAACAAAGCACCATGGGCCAGGTGAGGTGGCTCACATCTATAATCCCAACACTTTGGAGGCCGAAGCTGGCAGATCACTTGAGGTCAGGAGTTCAAAACCAGCCTGGCCAACTTGGTGAAACACCATCTCTATTAAAAATACAAAAATTAGCCAGGCATAGTGGCGCATGCCTGCAATCCCAGCTACTTAGCTGGGATTGACTCCCAAGTGGGAGTCTGAGACAGGAGAATCACTTGAACCTGGGAGGCGTGGGTTGCAGTTAGTCAAGGTCACACCACTACACTCCAACCTGGGCAACAGAGTAAGACTCTATCTGAAAAAAAAACCCAAAAAACAAAGCAGTCAGCAACCAGAAGGAATGAACTACTGATACACTTAATGACTCGGAGGACTTTCTAAGGGATGATGTTGAGGGAAAACCCCAGTCCCTGAAGTTTATCTACTTTATGATTCCAGTTATGCATAACATTGTTGAAATGAGAAAATTTCAGAAATGGAGGGCACATTAGTGGGGAAACCAGGCAGAGTCTACAAGGGATCCCTCTGTTATTTCTTACAACTGTATGTCATTCTATAATGATCTCAAGAAATAAAAGTTCAGTGTTAAAATCCTGCAGTTCCAAGTCTCTTTTACAGCTGGAGATAGTCAATGAGATGGAAAGCAATAGCTCTTACAGAAATCACAGAAGTCTAGGATGTACACTTTGCCCTTTTTCTCCCTTCCTTCTATTTCTTGCCAAGAATGTGAATGGGAGGATGGGAATACAGTAGTTATCTTGAACCATGAGGCAACACCAAGAGAAGCCTCCTGCAAAGAGTGGTGAAATAGAAAGGAAGGAACCCTGGTTACTGTTGCCGCTGGGATTGACTCCCAAGTGGGAGTCTGAGACAGGATCCTTTAGAATCTGTGATCCTTTAGAATCACAGCCCGTGGGAGTGACATCCCTGGAGTTGTGCAGTGCATAACCTGGGCAATTGAACATAGATGTGCAACCACTAACACCATGAAACTGACCGATGTTAATCTCCCGGACTGTTAACCTTTAGATTTCTGTTGCGTAAGTAAGGAATAAACTTGTTTGGTAAAGGCTGTAGGTTTTCTTTTAATCTCTGATACTAGCAACCAAATATAAATATCAAAATCTGCATTTACCAGCCATCCCAGCCCCAACTTTAGAGTAACCTCCTGCAAGGGTGTGTCCAGCAGGGTTGTGGAGTGAGGCCATGCAGTGAGGTGGCCGTCACGGATGTCAGAGGAAACTCAGTTCAGCTCTCTGTTCACAACAACCTGGTCCATTGCAAGAACTGCTTCCAGCCTAGCAGAAGACCAAGAACCAGAACAAAGCTACTGGGCTTGGGAAGGGGATCAGAACAGGCACTAAATAAATACTTACTAAAGGATGGGAGAGCACATCCAGGTGAGGGGAAACATCTGGCTTTAATTTTTTCAGCCAGTGCATGCACATTTCCAGCCTGGGTCACAGACAGAGGACTGGGCCAGGGTCCTCTTCATCCCCTGGGAAGGATGGACTGGAGAATGCAGTGGGGCCTGACTCATGCTTGTCATGAGGGTCTTTCCCCTGGTGTACCCAGAAGGGCCACCGCTGCCTCATCCACAGAGGAAAGTCTGGGAGGAAGGAGACCCCTTCGCCATCCATGGCTGTGGCTGACTTGATGAGCAGGGCTCCCCCTCCATGTGCTGTGGTCTCAGGAGCGCTCTAGCGCCCCTCTCTGGAGATGCTTCAGACCTCCTTTGCTTCTAAGCCTGCACCTTCCTGGAATTTGGTCTGAGCCCTGGAGCCCAGACCTTACTGTACCCAAGAGTATGGGCCTTGCCACCTCCTCTCCCTGCAATGGGGGAGCACAGCTTATCCAAAAAAAACGAGCTCCGGGCCTACTTGCCCTTGAACACGGTAGCAAGGAATTAAATTAAATCCTCAAATTCCCATCTTCTTTTTTCCAAGGCTGAATGGAATTGCATTTTTTTGTTGTTGTTGTTCTCATATAACTTAGAAGACTTAAAGCAATTCTTTTTCTTCTTCTTCTTCTTTTTTCCTCCTCTGTCACCCAGGCTGGAGAGCAGTGGTACAATCTCGGCTCACTGCAGCCTTGACCTCCTGGGCTCAAGCAATCCTCCCACTTCAGCCTCCCTAATAGCAGGGACTACAGGCGCGTGCCACCACACCTAGCTCATTTTTGCATTTTTGTAAGACAGGATCTTGCTATGTTGCTTAGGCTGGTCTCGAACTCTTGAGATCAAGGGATCTGCCTGCCTCAGACTCCCAAAGTGCTGGGATTACAGGCATGAGCCACTGCTCTCGGCCTTAAAGCAGTTTTAACTGTGGAGTGAAAATGGCATGAGCTTTGGAGTTAAATCTCCATTTTGCCATTTTGTAGTTATACAACCCTGGGAAAGTCACTTAACCGAGCTTCCGTTTCCTCAGCAGTGAGATGAAGATGGCCACACAGTGTAAACAGGCGTCAAGTGCATAATGGGCGCCCCACGAAGTTAGCTCCCTTTCACTCCCCTGCAACTCTTGTTTCATAAACTGGCTCTGAAAGCACTTCCAAGAAAAACACTGCCTCGACACAGACAGTTGCAACATCGGTGGGAAAAGTGCCTCCCTCCCAAATGGGGATGGCTTTGAAGGGCCAGATCTTGTGTAGATTCGAGTTTATCTGTATTTCTAAAATTCCTTCATTTACCACATGCAAAAGTGCAACAATGCTGGGGAAAGCTCTGATCAGAGAGCACTCACCACGTTGGCTAGCTGGGTGATGGCCACTTCAAAGTGCACCGTGACAGGGTCGGACACATTTTCCACGGGCCTGATGAACCGGTTGTAATGAGAAAACAGTTTGTGGAAGAGCCTCTCCTCAGTTGCGCAGCCTGCACAGCCTGCGAGGCCAAACCGAGGGGAAAGTTAGAGCCAGCCGGGCCACTGGCCACTGCAAAGATTCTGGGCAATTCTTCCCGGGCCCTGTGGGGAGTGGACGCTCCAGCCCATGACTGCATCCTGGTGCCTTCCCCACCTGTGCGCGCTCCACCAGCACCCATCTCACCCCACCCTCTGTGCCTCGGCTGTTCACCTTTACCGTAAAAGCAGCAATTTCAGGACTAGAGCAACATCAAAGCAATGATGTTGGTCAGAACATTTCTTCAAGTCTAAGGCACTGCAGATATAAAGGAGTAGACACAAGGCTTGGAATCTTTGCTTATGTAACTAAAGTAACTCAGTCTTACTGATGGCGCTAGACTCTTCCCAGTAATTAAGGAAAATCCTGTCCTTTCTTGTCTAAAATACTGATCCAACTAACACCTGTGCCGAACCAGCGAGGTGATCCGCTGGGGGATCTTCACCAAGCAAACTGAAATAACTAGTGATTTCATGATGGGCCTGGCAAGTCAAGTTCTTTTAAAAAATCAACTTTGAGGGCATGACCAGACGCTTCTCAAAAGAAGACATTTATGTGGCCAAGAAACATGAAAAAAAGCTCACCATCACTGGTCATTAGAGGAATGCAAATCAAAACCACAATGAGATGCCATCTCATGCCAGTCAGAATGGCAATTATTAAAAAGTCAAAAAATAACAGATGCTGGTGACACTGTTAGAGAAATAGAAAAAGAGAAATAGGTACACTTTTACACTGGAGTGTAAATTAGTTCAACCATTGTGGGAGACAATGTGGAGATTCCTCAAAGACCTAGAACCTGAAATACAATTTGACCCAGCAATCGCATTATAGGGTGTATACCCAAAGGATTATAAATCATTCTATTGTAAAGATACATGCACACATATGTTCACTGCAGCACTATTCACAATAGCAAAGACATGGAATCAACCTAAATGACCATCAATAATAGACTGGATAAAGAAAATGGGGTGTATATAAACACCATGGAATACTATGTAGCCACAAAAAGGAACCAGATCATGTGTTTGGCAGGGACATGGATGGAGCTCAAAGCTGTTCTCTTCAACAGACTAACACAGAAACAGAAAAGCAAACACTGCATGTTCTCACTTAAAAGCTGGAGCTGAACAGTGAGAACACTGGACATAGGGAAGGGAACAACACACACTGGGGCCTGAGGAGTCAAGGGAGGAAGAGCATTAGGAAAGATAGCTAATGCATGCTGGGCTTAATACTTAGGTGATGCGTTGATAGGTGCAGCAAACCCCCATGGCACGCGTTTACCTACGGAACAAACCTGCACGTACACCCTAGAACTTAAAATAAAATAAAAATCAACTTTGAAATTCAGGTATTTTGGAGATTTCTGAGAATGCAAGGTTTTTAAGGCAAATTTACTTGACACATTTTTAAAAAATGGAACATGGTTCTTAAATAATAGCCCATTCATTCACTAAATTCTAGATAATAATTTTATGCATATCTCTTTGTTTTCCAAGAAAATCTTAAAAGTGGGGTTCCTTGTCCTCATTTGACATAATTCATTTCATGACTACCTCCTCTGCATTTTCCCTTGCAGAATTCAAATTTTATACCTAACATAGGATTTCACTAATTTACCAAAGGGATTTATACATTGAAAGAAAAAAATGGAAAGAGCTTGAAAAGCTCATCAGGCAAAATGAATGGAAAGCTCTCTGTTAAATTACTAAATGGTAAGAGTTGCTTGATGAATGCCTTTGAAAACACTGAAACACTAGGGTTTTAGCAGGAAGGACAAATTTAAGGTAAAACATCATTCTTGCCATCATAATTAATCACGGTAAACATATTTCTCCATGACAGACAACAAATAATCCTCCTCATTACCCATTGTCTTCCTCCTTGAGACATTTTATAGCAGATAAACCCCCTGTCAGCCTTGAAAAGCAAGTCCCCTGCAAACCTAACAGCACAGTAATGTGATTTTGTTCAGCAGAACAGCAGTTATCAGTTTCTAAGTTGTAACTTTTAAAATGAATTATCTTACTCTTGAGACACGTTTCAGCATAGTAATGTGACATGTTTCCCAAAACGAACATGATTACCTAGAAAATGGAAGGGTTCATTGACTGAGTTATAATATCAGCTGACAAATTATCACTTTGAAAAAATATTAAACATGACTATAAATAAATAGGTTCAATATAGCCACAGCAGAGATGATAGAAAACTGTATCATTCTTATTATTCTTTGTCAATAAACTTATTAAGAATAACAAACTTATTATTCTTATTAATAAATTCTTATACTTTAATTATTCTTATGCTTCATTCTTCTTTCATTCTTCTTATTATACTTTAATTGGGAAAATAAAATAAAATATGGCTTACACTATGTTTCATGGTCCTCTCCTCCCCACCCTACCCCTCAGATTTCATCTTTTATGTTACACCTAATGAATAAAAAGCAAATAGATTAATTAGCAATTGTAACAGTGGTGGCTCCTATGCAGACCATAGAATCTTTTATTAATATATCTTCTCAAGCACAACTATAAAAAAGAGTAAATACATATAGCTACAAAGGGAACAGATAAGCAGAAATAAAACCTACCTTTAAAGAAAGGTGTGAACACACACAGCCAGAGACACAAGCCCCCATGAAGGAATCCCTGCCCTTTGCTGGTTGTCATAGTTAAAACACACTTGGATTCCTTTTTTTCTAGGCAAAGGATTGTGGAAAACAAAGAGCTATCAGCCGCAGGCATCCAACCTTGACATCATCAGAAGCCCACTGCAATCTGCGTGTGTCTTCTGAGAAACCAAAACATTCCCATGACTTCACACAGTTATTCACAGTATCAGAGACTGAGGCAGACATGAAGGGCGAATAAAACGATGCGATCTGATGTCAGATGAGTCATCACATTTCCTAGCAGCCTAGATGTGGCTTCATGCAAGAAAGGTGAAGAAAAGCAGAGAGGAAATGCTGAGGCAGACAGGACCCCTGGAGGACGAACACCTGTGAGTGGCTGAGACCTTTCTGTGGTGCAATATCAACCATAATCAGGGGGATTCACTGAGCTCCAACTACAGGTAAAGTTCACGCTAGGTCCCAACAAGTTTGTTCTGACTCATGAGTTCTCCAGTTGATCAAAACTTAACCATGTTAGAAAACTTTCTAAAATATGAATCCTCATTTCTGTCTTAATGAATGCAGCTTAAAGAGAACAGAAGTTTGTTTTTGTTTGTTTCTGACTCCAGGGCTTCCAGTGCCTTGTGTTTCTGAGTTTCTGAGTTCAGTGCTCATCCAGGACTAGATGTCAGAGAATGAGAGGAATGGATACACCTGGATATTTTCACATTTATTTAAATATTCTTATTGCAAAGCATGGTGGATCATGCCTGAATCCCAGTACTTTGGGAGGCCAAGGCAAGAGGATCTCTTAAGGCCAGGAGTTCAAGGCCAGCCTGGGCAACATAGGGAGACCTCATCTCTACAAAAAATAGAAAATCAGCTGAGGCATGCTTGTGCACGCCTGTGGCCCCAGCTACTTGGGAGGCTGAGGTGGGAGGATCACTAGAGCCTGGTAGGTTTAGTGCAGTGATCTGAGATTACACCACTGCACTCCAGCCTGGGAGACAGAGGAAAGACCCTGTCTCAAAAGTAAATAAATGTGCTGGGCTTAGTGGCTCATGCCTGTAATCCCAGCACTTTGGGAGCTGAGGCAGATGGATCACTTGAGGTCAGGAGTTTGAGACCAGCCTGGGCAATATGGCAAAACCCCATCTCCACTAAAAATACAGAAATTATCAGGGCATAATGGTGTCAGCCTGTAGTCCTAGCTTCCCAGGAGGCTGAGGCAGGAGAATCATTTGAGCCTGAGAGACAGAGGCTGTAGTGAGCTGAGATGGCATCACTATACTCCAACCTGGGTGGCAGAATAAGACCCTGTCTCAAAAATAAATAAATAAATAAATAAATATCCTTGTTAACTGGTTTTCTTGTAATTTTCCTCTTTTCTGTATAAGTTTAATGTCAGTGGGTTTATAATTAATTGAGCCTCTGACCAGATCAGTGTTGGTTAAAGAGGAATTAGAACTGAAGAAAGACCAGGCATAGTGTGCCTCATGCCTATAATCCCAGCACTAGGGGAAGCCAACGCGGGCAGATCCCTTGAGCTCAGCGGATCCCTTGCCCAGTTTGAGCAACAGTAGCCTGGGCAACATGGTAAAAACAGGTTTGTACAAAAAATACACAAATAATTAGCTGGGCATGGTGGCATGCACTTGTAGTTCCAGCTACTTGAGAGGGTGAGATGGAAGGATCACCCGAGTGCAGGAGTTCAAGGCTGCGGTAAGCCCCAATCATGTCACCGCACTCCAGACTGGGTGATAGAGTAAGACCCTTTCTCAAAAAAAAAAAAAAAAGGCTGGGCATGGTGGCTCACACCTGTAATCCCAGCACTTTGGGAGGCCAGGGCGGGTGGATCACCTGAGGTCAGGAGTTTGAGATCAGCCTGACCAACATGGTGAAACCCCATCTCTAATAAAAATACAAAAAATTAGCTGTGTGTGGTGGCAGGTGCCTGTAATCCTAGCAACTCCGGAGGCTGAGGCAGGGGAATCACTTGAACACGGAGGGTGGAGGTTGCAGTGAGCTGAGATTATGCCATTGCACTCCAGCCTTGGCAACAAGAGTGAAACTCTGTCTCAAAAAAAGAAAGAAAGAAAGTAAAGAAAATTGCAGAGATGGAAGTTAAAAGCCAACACATGGGGAGAAAATAAACATGTTTTCAAAAAATAAAATTAAAAAATCAAAAAAACAAAAGATTTAAAGACATTCTGTTTTTTCCTCATGTTACTTGATACTGCTTCATGTTCATATTCCAGGAATGTGTTTCTGTTCAGCTATGTTGTTGAAACAATCTAAACTCTAGAGTGCTGTCCATGGTTTCGTGAGGTGGAAAGGATGAAGGGAGGTGGGGGGATACATGGAGCCCTGGACGAAAAGAAGCTAATTAATATTGGAAGTGCTTTGGTGTCTCCCTATTGCCCACTCCACTTTACCCCTCCTTCCTTGTAGCCATTTTTAAAGGGAACTAGAAAGAAGCAGTGGATCGTAACTTTTTCATGTCCATGAGTCAGATTGAACCTATGGATTCTTGGACGTGGTGGCTCACACCTGTAATCGCAGCACTTTGGGAGGCCGAGGTCAGGAGTTTAAGACCAGCCTAGCCAAGATGGTAAAACCCCATCTCTACTAAAAATACAAAAAAATTAGCTGGGTATGGTGGTGAGCACCTGTAGTCCTAGCTACTCAGGAGGCTGAGGCAGGAGAATCACTTGAACCCAGGAGGCAGAGTTTGCAGTGAGTTGAGATCACGCCACTGTATTCCAGCCTGGGAGACAGAGTGAGACTCCATCTCAAAGAAAGAAAGAAAGAGAGAGGGAGAGAGAAAAGAAAGGAAAGGAAAGGAAAGAAGAAAGAAAGAGAAAGAAAAGAAAGAAAGAAAGAAAGAAAGAAAGAAAGAAAGAAAGAAAGAAAGAAAGAAAGAAAAAGGATCCTATACCTCCCATATACATATGCAGATTAAACAGAATTTTGCATATGACTTCTGGGAACTCACAGATCCATAAAAAGCCAACTCTGGGTGGAGGGTAACCATAGTTGGTTTCATAGTTTCCCCCACTATCTGTCTCCAGTCCCTCTATATCATCCCTTTTAAAAAATTATATATTCTTGGCTGGGTGTGGTGGTGCCTGCCTGTAGTCCCAGTTACTTGGGAGGCTAAGGTGAGACGATCCCTTGAGCCCAGGAGATCAAGTCTGCAGTGAGCTGTGATTTCACCGCTGTACTCTAGCCTGGGCAACAGAGTGAGATGAGAGCCTGCCTTAAAAAACAAAATAATAAGAAATAAGAAATACATTCTAAAGAGCTAATGTGTTAGGAAATGGATAGGCTTCGGAGAATAATTGTTGGGTTTCTTTTTGTTTTATTCAGAAGCTCATTTCAATTTGGAGGTTTTCTGAGGAAAAAAAAGAGGTGATACTGTTTAATATGAAACTTTTATTATAAAAACTATTTTAAGCTTCCCTCCACTCCCATTTGCTAAATTAGATTCAGTACTTCATTCTGATCTGAAAATAAAGACAATTTGATATGGTTATATACGATTGATTATGCTCTTGTTTGAAGTTTGAGGGTTTTTTTGGCATAGAAACTGCATGAATGAGCATGTTTGTTGACCTTACTCCAACTGTCAGTTCTCTTTAAACTCAAAATGAGAACATTCTTTAGTTGTCCATAAAGAAACATAAAGGAAATAGCCCCTTAAACATGTATTATTTATAACTCCACTGCAGCAAATAACATCATCAATAATTTAATGATCCCATCTGCTTTTTTAAAATATCCACTGTCATTAACTCTCACATGTTCAAATCCTGAGTCGGTGGTATTTCACATCCACCACTCTTGACATTTCCAAATCACGCAGGGAAAATGAAACAGCAGTAGGGTAAGTATTCAAATTAAATGCTAATTTTAAACCACAAAAAAACATTAAATAAATCGCTAATTATAAGGGAGGCTCCAATTAACTCTACAATGCCCATCTTTTGTCCATCTAAATTTTAAGAAAAAAAGAGAGGCTTAGAGCCTGGGGTGGAGTCATGCAGTGAAAGTTAAAACTGTGTTGAGACTGTTCAGACATTGAATAAGAACTAGAGCTTCCTCTGAGCATGTCCTGTGTGCCAATCACCGTGCCAGGGTCTCTAAATTCTCACTTTCAATCCTCACAGGTTAGGTGACAGTCAGGGAGGGAAGGTGACTCACTGAAAGGTGCGTCGCAGCTGATCAGTGGCTCAGTTGGAATTCCGATCTAGGTCTGTCGTGTCAAACCTTAAAGCAATCCTAAAGTGCTGTTTGATCCACGAATACTTTGTATGTTCAATATATTTCTAAAAAGCTGTTACCGACATGGGCTGAGGTTAGCCCCACCTGTGTCATTATTCACCACGTATTCCCTTGATTCACTCCACCTGGTGAGGAAGCCAAGGCTAGTTAATACAGGGAGTTGAAACAGTGGACAGAATGCCAGACAGAAGTGGGAGCTGGGGAGATCGCTCCCTTAGGCCACAGGCTGATGTCAGGCAAGTTCCCAAAGCTGGGAGAGTGGCCAGTGACAGCCACACCCATCCATCCAGGCCGTGCTCTTGCTAGCTGTGTCATGAACATCTCGAAGGTAAGAGCTGGTGGAGAGCACATGGGCCACATGCCTCCAGCCAGAGCAATTCCCATACAGACCTTTGAGAACCTTCTATCAATAATAACCTTCTATTATCTCCCTCCAGCCTTTAACAATCATCTCTGGGCCTTTCAAGGTAGAGGGAAATGTGCCTAAGTTTTAAGTCTCTTAAAACATTCAATTCAGTTACGATTGTCATAGAACACAGCAGTTATTATCATATAATTTATTGTACTGTAGTAGACCCAGCTCTGTGATTGCAAATGAAAATAACAATACCAATGTGTTTGTTTCCTAGGACTCTTGTAACAAATTACCACCAACTTGGTGAGTTCATAGAGCAAAAAGTCATTCTCTCACAGTTCTGAGGCTAAAAAAGTCCTTTTTTTTTTTTTTTTTTGAGACAGAGTCTTGCTCTGTTGCCAGGCTGGAGTGCAGTGGCATAATCTCAGCTCACTGTAACCTCTGCCTCCCAGGTTCAAAGTCTCCTGTCTCAGTCTCCCAAGTAGCTGGGATTACAGGCATGGACCACCACGCCCAGATAATTTTTGTATTTTTAGTAGAGATGGGGTTTTGCCACATTGGCCAGACTGGTCTTGAACCCCTGACTTCAGGTGATTCGCCTGCCTCTGCCTCCCAAAGGATTATTGGGATTACAGGCGTGAGCCACCTCTCCAGGCTGAGGCTAAAAGTCTTAAATTGGGTGCTGGAGCAAGGCCACACTCCCTGTGGAGGCACTAGGGGAGGATCCTTCCCTGCCTCTTCCAGCTCCTGGCTGGAATTGCTCCAGCCTCTGACTTTGTGGTTGTTCGGCTTTTCCTTGTGCCTGTGCCTTCTCCTCTTCTGTCTCTTACAAGCAAGCTAGTTCTTTTGGGCCTCCAGGTAATCTCCGATAATCTCACCTCTGGATTCTTAATTACAGCTGCAAAGACCCTTTTTCTAAAAAAAGATCACATTCACAAGTGCCAGGGGTTAGGACATGAATACATTTTTTTTTTGGAGGGCCACCCTTCAGCCCACTACACCATTGGCCGCAGGATTGTGGTGAGGATTTAATTAGAAAATGTATCTAATAGCAGCTACTGAAATACATAGGGGCAATACACATTCATTTTCTTCTTCCAGAGAAGAACATTTTGTTTTTTGTTGTTGTTGTGGTTTTTGAGACGGAATTTCGCTCTTGTTACCCAGACTGAAGTGAAATGGCACGATCTCAGCTCACCGCAACCTCCGCCTTCTGGGTTCAAGCAATTCTCCTGCTTGAATCAGCCTCCCGAGTAGCTGGG